AGGAGGTCCGTGGGTTAGTTACAGTCGTTTTCTGTCTTGTCAATCACTTACTTGTTTTCAAAATTCTTTGAGTTATAGTCAATGCTCCTTAGAAATGATCTGAAGAGAAAATTGTCCTTCAGCTGGCAGCAAAAATCATAGGCATTAGAATCTTTTGGGGGGAATAATAATACTGGGAGAGGAGAATGGCACATTCAGTCTTGCCAACGTTTGAAATACATGTGAAAAGGACAGTAGCAGTGCCACTGAACTCTATTGAAATGCATTGGAAGAAGAAGCTTTTCAGAAATAGGGAAACAAGGAAGTGGTGAGTGATGTGCTAAAAATGAGTGCTTAATTTGTAAACAGAAAGAGCTGGCAATAGTAGGAGATGAGTCCCACCTATTGTTTTTGAAATTTGAGCAGTTATGCTTGGTTGGTGAGTCACCCAAGATGTGTCTGATAAGATGTTCCAAGAAGTCAATTCTCCCGGCCCCGGAGAGGTGGGAGCGTGTGTCTGCACACGCATGCGCAGAGAGTGTATGCGCGCTCAGTCCTGTCGCTGTGGCGTTGCATCCGGTGAATTTCGGAGCTCTGTGTTTTTCTTAGCTTGCAAGAAGCAACTTAACTATACTAATGCTTTAATAGTATTATTCGCCTCCGTGATGCACAGGATGCCTTTTCTGTTCACTGTTCCGGGTTATAGTAGGCGGGGTGTGTATCAGCACAATAGGTCAGTAGGGTCCAGAAGTTTGGATTTTCAAGGTTAACTTGAACTTTATTACTCATAGAGTGGTAGATGGTTTAGTAGACTGAAAAAAAAAACTGCCCCCATGTGAGCCAGCTAATTTTGCTTTGTTCTATGGCTACATCAGGCACATGGTATCACCTATCTACATCTGTATCAGCAAACTACAGCCTACACAACAAAGCCACCTGCAGCCTCTTTTTGTATAACTTGCTAGCTAAGAATGGCTGTTATCTTTTTTTTTTTAAGATTAATAAAAGAAGATAGCTGTAAAGTATACATTGTTTTGTGGGATCTTTATAATAACCTATTTATCACCCTCATTCTATAGCTAAAGAGGTTCACAGAGGCTGAGTAATTTGCCTTGGAGGACACTAACTGGTGGCAGGAAGGAGGAAGGGAGGACAACAAACCCAGGGAGTATTCCTCTTAAGTCTCCCATCTGTCCTTAAATGTGCACTGTTACCATGGAAACTGTAGGAAAGTATGAATGAAGCCCCAAATCCATCATTCCTAATGGAATAGAAGTCCAAAATACTCACCAAATGCAGCACATTCCTTTATTTAATGGTTATATGGAGTTTTCTGTCACTGAGGAGTTACATGTTTACAGTATGATAAAGGGACATCATTTTAAAAGGTAAAGTTCTAGGTTTGAGGAGAAGGAAAACCAGTTATCCTTGTGAAATGGAAGAATAGGAAGGAGAACATGCCAAGAGTTATAAGTGGAGAAACAAGGCCACAGCTGTCTACTAACGACTATAGGCAAAAACAGGAAGTTGTGGTGGTATATGACTTTCTTTCTTACTAGTATAACTTCCTCATTATAAATTCAAGCCTCCTCCTAACTTCTTTAACCTCGCAGACTGTCAACTAAACTGACAAATTCTATTTCTATTTGTGTACCTCTTTTAAATACTTATTTCTTTTTAGGATTTTATTAGATACTATTTGATTTGGTCGTGAGAGATACATATTTCTTTCTCTAGACAAAACAAAATACCAAACCAACAGTGAGGCTATTTTAAGAGCAGCTTTGCACCAAAAAATTTAGATTTACCTACAAAGAAACACATAGAAGGAATTGTACAGATAACTGACAACCCTCCTGTTGTCTGTGTCTTCAAGGCTACTTTCTTTTAGATATCACTTTTTCTGTGTCTCTGACATCTCCGACTGGATCCTCTTAAACTTTTCTAGGATCTGTTATAGCCAATTAGACAATTTATTGCCTGTTTCTAAGAATCTAAACAAAGAGGTATACTTCTCTTAAATTTAATCTCATTAATGCGAGAATCTGTTGTAGCCTGAAGCAGTCTTAGAATTTTACATACAGAATTTGCCTCTTAGTGACCTGATAGAAAAATATTTTTGTTTTTACTAGTTTTTAGTCTTTGGAGGGAAGATCTATATTTTGGGCGAGAAGGAGAGGAGAGTCTTCAGAGATTGGGTGGCCGAAGGTGAAGGCTGTGCTCTCACTATACAAGTCCTTTTGCCTGGGTGCAATGTTATGTCTCCTAAATACGGCAACAAGGGAGTTGTTTTCATCACAATGGGAGGACCTCATTCTACTGTTAAGTATAGGGAAGAAGAAAGGTGAACTCCCTACTAAAATCTTCCCTGATCAACACTTCTCTTACTTGAAAAAGAAAAAGAAGTGATAGGAGTTTATGAAGAAACCCTTTACCTGCTGCCAAGGGCCACAGGCCAGGGGAGCTACAAAGAGACGCAGCCTAATGGAATGTGCCAAGAGGTGACCAAGTGAAGAGCCACATGGTTCCAGAGCTATTAGCTCAGGGTACAGAAGTTTCCTTAGAATATTTCTTTTGCTAATAAGTAACCAATTCTCCCACGCATAAGGCCTTTGGTTAATCATTATGCAGATGTGAGTAATTATCCGTCTGCTAGGCACCTAGCTCCCACAAGGTCATACTTTTTACTCATTAGTCTGGGGCCTTGTGGTAAGTCCCCTTTCCCCAGGTCAGGCCCAGGAGAATCGTCTCAGCTGGGTACATGGTCCCTCTGGACTAGCACATGGCTAATCCTAAAACTGCCTCCATCCTACCCCCAGCTGGGAAGCCCATGCAATTCTGTGCCACACAGAAATCCTTGATGGCCTATCACACATGGAAGTTGCCACTTAATGTTCAGTGCCCCTAAAATCATGTGTGAACTCTGAGTAAGACTCAAAGCTCATTTCTTCAACATAAATATTGTTTATCTTATAAGATGAAAGAAAAATCACAAAACTGTGTCCTGTATCTTACACTCTGGCAGAGCTGTCAAATTAGGTTCCCTTACACATCTCAAAACTACTGGACTGGTTAGTAAATGCTTGCTCTCGGTTTCTTCTGTCCCTCAACCAGAATAAATAATAAGGGACTTACCCTCTTGATCACCCTTCTGTTCAAGGATCTTGGTTAAGTCAGTATATATCTGAATGCACTTGCATACAGTCGTATCTTTATCTAAATTCCCCTTATTTATTACCCTTCGTCAAAAGTACTAAAGTTTCTCTTCTTTCTCCCAGTGTTTGTTTTACTTCTCCTGAGCTCTGTCCCTCTTGTGTTTTCTGGCCATCTCTGGCAGCCCTCCTGCTCTGCAGTTGACCATTCTGTCCTTCCAGTGCACACAGGGAAGCAAAAGGCTTTGTAAGACCTGAGAGAGCTAAGGAGCCATCTTTCTGGCTGGGACAAGGGAAGGCTCCTGAGGAGGTGATGTGTGAGCTGAGTCCCAGGGCAGAGGTTCACCTGGTGTGAGAAGTAGTGAAGGGTTTGGAAAGGGGAGAACTGCATGATGTGTCAAGTACCTGTCAATAGCACTTGCTAGAAAAACAATGGCCTTAATTACTCAAACAGAGACCCCATTACAATAATGTATTATTCTAGGGATATATTTCCCTACATCAGGAAGTGAGTGTTTCATCTGGAGGACCGGAAAATTTTTCTTTTTAATAAATAGGCTTTAGTTTCAATTATTATATCTGTTTTAACCAAGTGATTCAGAAATAATCTATGTAATATGCCACATCATTTTAACTGTGCTTTTTCTTGAGGAGGGTTTCATAATGAGCCAAATGTACTAAAACAGAAACATGAGTTCATCATTCAAAAAAGCATTTTCATTGTGCTTGTCAAAATTTTCCCATCTATTAAAAGAGGTGCTTATTCTTTCAAGAGGAATCATGTGTAAAGAAAGTAAACTATTTCAGCAGCCCAATGTATAGGTACATAAGTAACCATAGAATAATTAGATGAAAAGAACTTTAGACATTATTTGACTTGTGTCTTTATATTATAGGTGAGGAATCTAGGGATGGGAGAAATTGGGCCAGTTGCCCAAAGTCACATGGTCACTGACCTAAAGGTTACTGCAAGCCTTCTCCCCAGCCTCCCCAATCCCCACACCCCTTCCTCACACTTGCTTACTCAGATAGAACAGGGCACCACAGACTGCAAAAGCTTTCTTTCAGAGCATTGTTTTAGAGTCATCCCAACTGAAATGAGCTCAGATTGCTATGTAGGCTTTGAATTACATAAAGTATTTGAACTGTTAGTTACTCAGATTCTAATGGGCAGTTCTTTATTTGGTAGAACATTTTTATCAAGGATTATAAAGAAGGTGTGACTAGCCCTGGCTGGTGTGGCTCAGCTGGTTGGGCATCATCCTGTGCATTGAAAGGATGCTGGTTCGATTTCAGGTCAGGGCACATGCATTGGTTGTGGGCTCAATCCCTGGTAGGGGGCGTGCAGGAGGCAGCTGGTTGATGTTTTGCTCTCACATTGATGTTTCTCTCCCTCTCTTCTTCTTTCTCTTCTCTCTCTAAAAATCAATTTAAAAAATTTTTTTTAAAGTAAAGAAGGTGTGCCCTGGCTGGTTTGGCTCAGCGATTAGAGCATCGGCCTGTGGACCCGAGAGTCCCAGGTTTGGTTCTCACTAAGGGCACGTACCTCAGTTGCAGTTTGTCCCCAGCCCCGGTTGGGGTTGTGTGGGTGGCAACCACTCGATGTGTCTCTCTCACATCGATGTTTCTCTCTCTCTTCCTCCCTCTCTCCCTCCCATTCTATCTGAAGATAAATGCCAAAAAATAAAAACATAAAAAATAAATAAATAAATAAATTATGCTGTCTGCTCCATTAAAGTAAAGAAGGTATGACTAATAGGTTCCAGAATTTACAAATAGTGTAAACTATATAAATAAACTTTCTTTTTCTAAAATGTAAGGTCAGAGTATGTTCTTTTATAGTTACTACACTTGTTCTCTTTGCTTTAGGGTACTTTTGTCTTCAGTGACACTGCTGTCTATATATTCAATAAACCTTCTGTTGATCTGTTCAAAGGAAACAGGTAAGCTGATAATAGATCTAATTTTGTGAAAGCCAGGGTGAATAATTTTGATGGTGAAATTGTAAACAACGACACTCTCCCTATTCAGAAAATTTGACCTAGAGTCACCGAAGACCTGTAGTTGCATTTACCGGGAAAATTGATGCAGTAACTATAAATTGTCATGAACCATGAACAATAGTGCTGTCATTTAAAGTAAACCCTCAATTATACCTTTTTTTTTTTTCTAGTTGAAGATGACTTCGTTTTCAAGGCTTTGGGTTTTTTCTTGGGTCTTTATAAATTCAAAACAAGGATCCCATGTTTTTTATATTATGGCCTCCAAGTTTTGAAAGTACACAGAGCTTTCATTCTCTTTTGTGCATATTCCAAGGAGAAAAGGTTACTCCTGAGGCAATGTGGGAGTGAGTGTGCTATGAAAAGGTTTCAAGTACCCTGGGCAGTGTAATGCCTGAAGTGTTTACTTTCTATTCCTGGGATACTGGATTATGTTTGTAATACTTTGGCTTTTACATTAGCTAAAACCACACCGGCCAACTATTATTGTATATAGACGGTTCCATTTAAATGGAACATTTTGTAATAAATTGAGGATCTAACCATTGTCTGGTTTAAACACCAGCCTAATGAGAGATTAAACAAAAGTTTAATTTAGCCTGACCTACGTACTACTTTCTGTGAACCTTGTGAAAATGTGTGCTGAATTGTCATAAAGAAATATAAACACTTTTTAAAAAATGAATGGTTTAGAGTCTTAGTATTTACTGAGATAGGCTGGTTGAACACTTTGGAATTTTGCTATAGCCAAATTATTCTTTAGATGGACTTCTCTACTGCTCCCTGTTGTGAGTTGCTGATCTTTGAACTAAATTTTACAAACAGCCAGAATGCTGATATCATGACTCTTCCATGTTTCTAAACTTATTATTATATTTAGGACATACGAGGCATTGATGGAATATGATTAAGATGATTCTTTTTTAGCCTAAACATTCAGGTTATTAATTCAAAAAGAACCTTTTATCCTAACCATCTGGATTTTTATTTTTAAATCAAATCTTTATTTTAATGATATTCCACCGGACTTGAGAATATGATCAGTGGGAATTTCCCCCCAGTAAAGTACAAGGACTATTTGAGGTAGTCAAAAATAAGCCCTATGACCTAACGGTTTAATTGTAATGCTTTTGTAGCCAAGAAGAAGAAGAAACTGTGGTCACGTTTGACATTTTAAAATGTCACGAGATCATTTTTTAATGAGAATGCCTTAACCCTTGCAAAGCCAAGAAGGCCATTTGGGTGATTTTGAGAAAGACATGAAATAATTTGGGATCAGTCAATAGTATGATGAAATCCGGGCTAGTTTTAATTTTTAGAGCCCTGTCATTTCTTGTGTTCTCAAATATGATTTCTAAATAGGCTGCATGGTGTATGAAAAGCTGGGAGAACAGGTCTTCGGCACCACAGGGAAGCTTGTCATCTTTGGGGCCACCTCGCTACAGAACACGGGAGGTAAGAACAACCAAACACACTTTTCCATACATAATGTTACAGTAGCTGAACATTATTATGTTTTCTAATTCTGGTGTTGGGTGGCCACATGGATTTTAACATAATTCAAGAAGTTATTCTCCTTGCTAACAAGGAAAGTAAAGCAGAGACAACAGTCACTTATATAAACCCAAAGATACTGCAAGAGTACCTACAGCTATCTTTGTGTCTTATTGAAGGTTAGTCTAAGAACAGGCTGGTAACCTTTTATATAGCTTGCAATGTGAGCCTTAGTATCATCTTTCTAAAATGTTCTCATTTTCCTCTAGCAATGCTGAGCTACCTCTTCATAGTAAAAAATGAACTACCCTCTGCCATAAAGTTTCTCATGGGAAAGGAAGAGACATTTTCGTAAGTTATACCCCCTCCCACACCATTTTTTTTGTAAGATAACTAAAATGTTTTTAATTTAAATGTGGGCTAACCAACGTTTTTGTTTTATGGAAATTGCAGAAACAAAGTTTTCCCCAGGCTGTTTTTTGTTTGTTAGTTTGTTGTTTCAACAACAAATTTCTCTGGAGTTATATAAATAAAAGAAGCAGAGAGAACCACTTGAATATGCATTTAAAAGGTAGATTCATCTGTCAGGCTGCAAACAGAGGATGCTGCATTTTCTCAAGAGCCTGAAATTGATGTCTAATTTCTGTGAAATAGAACAGATATGGAGTAGTTTTTAACACAGAATTGGAACATGCGAAAAACAAACAAACCTATTTTTTAGAGAAGGGGACACAGATTTTGGTAGCAAAGTTTACATGAGCCACCCACATTAAAGATGCAGTTGACCCTGGAAAATGTTGCAGCTACATTTGACACATCATTATGTTGTGATTCTCCCTTGTTTAACAGTTCTTGTCCGTCTTAGTTTCTCAGTTTTTTTTCAAGGGGGAATCTTAGAAGCCATAGTTCCTTGTGTTCAGTAATCAGGATTCAAGGTCAAATACAAGAGATAAAGGAGAGAGCAATGCCTACCTGTGGTGACTTGTTTTTCAAGGATATTAGCCAAGCAAAACAAAAAGGATCTTTCTCTTTAAATAATTGATGATACAAGTTGTAATCCGACAGAATGCAATGTGTGCATTCGGCCTTGAAACCACATAAATAATTAGAAGGAATGCCATATTAAGCCAATAGGGGAGGAAAAGAAAACAATATCCCTTCTTCCGTCTCACGGGAGAAGGACAATAGTAAATGAGTAGTGGTTGCATCAGAAGTGTTTGGATAAAACTGAAAATGATAAAAATGTATAGTAGTAAACAAATTAGTTAAAATATATTGTGAAATTTGACACTTAAGAGAAAAAAAGTCTCTTTCTAAGGAAATATGACCTACCCTCTGAAATGTCTTTCAGAGCCTGGTATGTGGATGGCCGTGTTCTGGTGGTGATAGTTACCTTTGGCATCATTCTCCCTCTGTGTCTCTTGAAGAATTTAGGTAAGCAAAATCTTTCCCCCTACTTTTGCTTGTACGATAAAGATTAAGTAACTGATAAATTACAAGTATTAATCAGTCTCGACTTTAATATGGGATAAAAACACCAGTCAGGCCCTGGCAGGTGTGGCTTGGTTGGTTGAGTGTCAGTCCACGCACCAAACGGTTGCTGGTTCAATTCCCAGTCAGGGCACATGCCCGGTTTCAGGCTCAATCCCCTGTGGGGGGCGTGCAGGAGGCAGCCAATTGATGTTTCACTCTCACATTGATGTTTCTCTCTCTCTCTTTCTCTCTGTCTCTCCCCCCTATTCCCCCTCTCTCTCCCTCCTTCTCCCTTCCTCTCTCTCTCTAAAATCAATTTTAAAATAAAAAGCAATGGTCAATATGTGACTTCCCAAGAAATCGTTCTGCTAAGCTATGGAGGGGAGAAGGGCAGTTCTGGGGCTGGTGACAGACAATGCTTATTTCCAATAGCACAACTTCTAGGCTGTTCTGAGAAAAGTCCAAAAATTGGAATTCTACTCATATATACTGTGATTATTTAGACAATTAGATTTTTAAATCTAATATATAGACAGAAAGTTGCTTATATTTATACCCAAAAGTATAGTGTATTACTCTTAAATTATCATAGATTGATCAATCTCAATTATTTGCCTCATTAAAGGGAGAGAAGTGAAAAGTCAAAAGTGGTAAACAACCACTAGGTTACATCCATTTGTTTTTACTTTTTTGTGTGCTTATAATCAGAGACAAGTATGCCTAATGTCATGGGAATTTCATACACCCAATAATGTGGCCACACTGCTGTCCAGTCCAAAGCTTCTAAAATGCATTTCCTTTCATTATGGGCTAATTCCAGGCAGACATTTAAAGTTGTCCCCACAATGATTGCTAACCATAATTTTTGTTTTGTTTTGTATGAAAAATATCATGCCTCTGTAGCTGTTCTACAAGATCTATAAGTAGACTTAAAAAAAAAACAAAAACAAAAACAAAAAAAACAATTTTCTGGTTTCTGGGTCTGTGTCTAGGCTTTTCTGTTTAGATACACATAACTCTTTTCAGTGTAAGTAGAGAAGGGGAAAAAAATAAGTAGAGAAGGGCTCTTCTCCCCCAGGGGTGAGAATAGTGCAACCCCCCAGAGGCTACAGTGGTTGGAGATCTGCCAGGCATTCTAAGGGGAGTGAGGTAAAGATCCCCAGATTCTCAATCACTTCATGTCCTCTGTTCATGCCTCTGATTTGGGATGAGAAGTACTGTGGCTACAGCCATTATGCACACAGTAAGTGCATAATAAAGAAGAATGGATTTGGCCATAGGTATCCATCAGAGTACGCAGCAGAAACCTATGACTAAATTTGAGGGGCTCCTTTTCCCTGACTCCTGGGAATCTGTGTTCTCTAGTGTGTCAGGAGAACTGGAATTAAACACATACTATAATGCTTTTACTTAAAGTCACATTTTTGCCAAATAAAGTAGCACTATCAAATAATAAATCTGGTATTCACATTGGCATGTATGTATAATATTGGAACCCAAAACTATTCTTGAAAAAAAGCATTGCCCTGGCCAGTATGGCTCAGTGGTTGAGCATCATCCCATGCACCTAAAGGTCACCAGTCTGATTCCCAGTCAGGGCATATACCCAAGCTATGGGTTCTGCATACGGGAGGCAACCTGTTGATGTTTCTCTCTCTGTGTCTCCTTCTTCCTTTCTCTCTCTCTCCAAAATCAAAAATACATTTTTTAAAATGCATTGAAAGAAATAAGGTGATGGATGCAATAATAATAATTTTTAAAACTTTTTTTAGGGTATCTTGGCTATACTAGTGGATTTTCCTTGAGCTGTATGGTTTTTTTCCTAATAGTGGTAAGTGCTGGTTGGAATGGTTGGTTTGGTTTTGCCATAGTATAATGCTATGTAACAATTATTCTGTATTTGGCTTTATTTGATAAAGTCTATACTGTTTCTCCTATATCTTTTAATACCAGGTTATCTACAAGAAATTTCAAATTTCCTGCACTGTCCCAGAGCTAAATTCAACAATGAGTGCTAATTCAACAAATGCTGACATGTGTACGCCAAAATATGTTACCTTCAATTCAAAGGTAAGTTTCCTTATCTTTTAAATATAAAAATGGGCATTTTTATTAAGGGCATTATATTTCTTATCTTTATAGTAATTAAACTGTTTTGAATATATTCTATCTCAAAGGGACACAGTACCACTGCTTCCAGATTCCACAGTCCATTTAGAGACCTTTGAGAAAAATACAAATACTGTATTTCATGCTGCCTCTTGACCCAGTTGATATGTAGGACAACCTTCATTAAGCATTTCTGTGAAAATTTCTTTCTCGATAATTATCTCAGCTCTTCTTTCCATAGATCTTTAAAAATAGATTAATAACACCCTTAGTCCACAGCTTCCTATCTGGTGGTTACAAAAAGGGACCCCTCAAACTTCCCCAGCTTACAGAGTTGAAATACAGATGCCATCACAAAATGGCAGTAGAAACTTTCATACTTTCGAGAGACTGTTAGTAATATAGGGAACAGTGGATTGTGGGACCAGTTTGGCTTGGACTTGAATCCTCAAGCAAATTACCCAACCCCACTTGTAAAAAACGAGTATTCTGCCCTGGCCGGTTTGGCTCAGCGGTTAGAGCGTCGGCCTGCGGTCCTGAGAGACCCAGGTTCGGTTCCCGCTAAGGGCATGTACCTCGGTTGCCGTTTGTCCCCGGCCCTGGTCGGTTGTGCGGGTGGCAGCCACTCGATGTGTTCCTTTCACGTCGATGTTTCTCTCTCTCTCTCTGTTCCTCTCTCTCCCTCCCACTCTACCTGAACAAAAAATGGAAAAATGTCCTCGGGTGAGGATAAAAAAAACAAAAAAAAACGAGTATTCTGTTCTGCGTCTTAATGGGTTTTCTGTTCTGTTTTGTTTTAAGAATGTGCCTGGTACAGTGCTTGGGCAGAATTAGAGCATGAGAAATGGCACTTTCCTTCCTTCTCAGCCAGCTTCTTTTTGCATGAGAAGTTATGTTGAGTTTGAAAGTTTTAAAAGGTCGTATCTAAGAAAACTAAATAGATCTTTCTCTCTCTCTCTCTCTCTCTTTCTCTCTCTCTAAATCTAAGGATGCAGCCCAAGTAGTGAATGTGGAACTAATTTTCTTTTTATGATTATTGTTTTGTTAATCCTCACCTGAGGATCTTTTTCTACTGATTTTTTTTTTTTTTTTTTTAGATAGAGTAGAAGGGAGGGAGAGAGACAGAGAGAGAAAGAGAGAAACATTGATGTGAGAGAGACACATTTATTGGTTACCTCCCACACGACCTTGACCAGGACCAGGGATTGAATCTATAACCCAGGTACGGGCCCTTAACTGGGAATGGAACCCACAACCCTTTGGTCCGCAGGCTGATGCTCTAACTGCTGAGCCAAACCGGCCAGGGCCTAATTTTCTTTTTAGATGTCATCTTTTAAGTCTGATTAGCTGCACCCTATTATAGCAAAGAGCAGTAAAATAGAGGTGGAAGTCCTGGGCATGTCACCTAACCTGTTGGAAGGAGTCAGGAGGACAGCAGTGTATCAACCGCTCAGGGTTGTTGTAGGGACTCAGAGGTAATGTATGAAAAGTGCAGTGTAACTGGTCAGCGCCGTATAAAGACGGGTTGTGCTGTGTCTCGAGGGTATAAAATACACTGTGGGTCAGCTGAATCTAAAGCCCCTCTATGCCAAGTGCCCGCTGACAAGCTGGATGAGCTTTCTTCGGAAAGCGGCTCCCATTTTGGGTTCAAAGCCCTCCTAACAACCAAATAATCCAGGGATTCTGAAGAGCTGTCAGATAAATGACAGCTCAGAAATACTGTATAATTTTATGGTAAAAATACCTTTTTAAATGTTTATTTTTTTCCCTTTCAAATAGACCGTGTATGCTCTACCAACGATTGCGTTTGCATTTGTCTGCCACCCATCAGTCCTGCCAATTTACAGCGAGCTTAAAGAGTACGTGTTTTTCATCGTAACCATTTTATAGCTCCTCATCAATAGACAAGCACTGTCTTAGAATAAACAGACTCATGTAACGAGCCCCCGCGGACTCATCACCCAGCTTTAGCATTTACACTCCGCCATTCTTGAACAAGTACTGTATTTTAAGAAAAAACAACAAAAACAAAAAAGAAAAATCAGAAACCTGCAGTATTTTTGGATGTAAATATATAAAGTGCTTACTATTGGGCCTTTTTTTGTTAATCTGGTTTTTCAAATACTGTGTTACTTAGGAGAGTTCAGGTATTTGTGTTGCTTTATGTTACTTATGCTTACTCAGCAGGTCACATGTAATGGTGTTCAGATTCATCTGAAAACTGCTAAATACATCATACCTGATTTGCCAAGTATGGAAAAGGCTGGTAACACAGGCAGAGAGAAATTAATGTTAAGACCACAAACTAGACAAAAAAAAAATTGTTGTTCATTTTAAATTACTAAGATGATTATATGGATTTGTTTTTGATTACTATTGTAGAGAAAACTAAAACTACTTATAAATTTCCTCATGGGTTCTCTTTTTAGCTTACTGTTACAGACTTTCTATATAAAAAGTCATCGTGGCATAGTCTTAAACGCAGAAAAGATATACAATGTAGCTATTACCATTTGAAACAAAAATAAAGTGGATTTCATTTAGCATTGAATTAACTCATGATTCTTTCTCTTTCATATTTAATTGATGTAGGTAAATTTTGAAATATTTACATCTACCTATCTATGGGTATATCAGTGCTAACTTTATGATCCTGTATTCAGGGTATTTAAATGTGTCTTTGGCATCTTTTAACTTTTATAGCCCAGCTTTTAGTTTGTGGTTTTCTCATGTGTATACTTCTCAATTTTACTTGTCTTTCATACTCCCTGTTATGACACAACCAACTATTACCAGTCTGTTATTGAGTACAAGTCTAATAGATTCATTATTTGGGCAGTTAAAGAAACTTAAAGGCTCATCAAACTGCCGGAGTAAACCTGACCTAAGAACACAGTCCTTCATCATCATCCTTCTGTAGTAGTTATTGATGTGGAGACATACAGACTTCCAGGTGCATCTCTGGGGCTATTCAATGGGAAAACCGGAGCCTAAATAACTGCTTTAGCAACAGAACACCTGAGGTTCAGTTCCAGCTCTGCCCCTGGTCTCTGGGGCTGAGAGAACAGTGCTTGAATTTATTCTGCCCTTTTCCTGTGAATGCTGACTGTGGAGATAATATCAAACACAAATATTAAGAAACACTCTCTGCCCTTCAGATGAGAACTTGATGTTCTCTCTAAAGAATGGGTAAGAGAACTCAAGAATTGTTTGTTCCATGGCCCTCTCTCACAGTGCCCGTTAAGTATAACAGAAGTTTTCTGGATCAGCATAATCGCCTGGGGTAATTTCAGCTGGTCAGAGCTGCTCAACCCTGATAGAAAGTTAAGTTAGTATTAACACTTCTGTGTGAACACTGGTGTTTAAATTTGGTAACATGGTTTTTAATTTTTCACACTCTTTTATCTTTGTCTTTAGTCGATCACAGAAAAGGATGCAGATGGTCTCAAATATCTCCTTTTTTGCCATGTTTGTTATGTACTTCTTGACTGCCATTTTTGGCTACCTGACATTCTATGGTAAGTAACTTCTGCTAACACATAAATGTAGGCCATTGTAAATGAATTAGTAAAAACCAATATCAAAATAACTTTTCACATGATACTTAAAAAGCAACACATCTTTCCATTGATTTTGCTGATCTTCTATTCAAAGCACAGTACAATGGTTCCTATCCATATTCACACAGACTGCACAATAGAATAATTACTGGAGCAATACAGTTATTTTTTCCCCTAATACTGTCCTTAAAAAAAAAAAAAAAAAAAAGAGCCCTGACAGGGTTGCTCAGCAGTTAGAGCATCCGCCTGCAGACTGAGGGTCTCGGGTTTGATTCGGATTTGATTCCAGGTCAAGGGCAGGTCAAGACACGTACCTGGGTCATATGGGAGGCAACCAATTGATGTGTCTCTCACAGTGATGTCTGTCTCTCACTCTCCCCCTCTCTCCCTCTCCACTCTATCTGAAAATCAATGGAACCCAGCTGGTGTGGCTCAGTGGCTGAGCATCGACCCAGGCACCAAGAGGTCACCAGTTCGATGCCCAGTCAGGGCACATGCCCAGGTTGTGGGCCTGATCCCCAGTGGGGGGCATGCAGGAGGCGACCAGTCAATGTTCTCTCTCACTGATACCTCTCTTTCTCTCTTTCTCTCCTTCTCCCTTCCTCTCTCTCTAAAATCAATTTAAAAAAAAATTTTTTTTTTTAATTAGTGGAAAAATATCAGGTGAGAATTAACAAAAATAAATAAATAAAAATAAAATAATTAAATTAAATTTTTTTTATAAAGAACATTTTAGGCCTCATTTCCCTGGCCCTTCTGTGTGTATTGTACCCAGCTTTAATAAACATCCTCTGAAATTAAAAAGAGAGAGAGAAAGCACTTTATCAGCATAGCACCTGTCCTGAGGAAAGTGAAAACTATGTCAGAGAATTTCCTAATTGCTGTTGCAAATGGAGTCAGATTCCATTAATAGAAAAGAGAAGACAGAGAGATGTTGAAAGTGAGAAAGAGCAGAGCCGCCACACTCGTGACACTTAACGTTAATTAAAAATAAAATGTCTGGTTTTCTCCTGGAAGTGGAGCCTTGCAAAGATGTGTGGGAGTGGCATAGAGAGCTAAAGGGAATGGAATCTGAGGTGCAGTGAGAAGCCCCGGAAAGGACACGGGGGAAGGGAATCATCTCTTGTCAAAGGGCAGAGCGTTTTCATGCTCTCTCCACGTGACTGCCATTCTAGCTGTGGTTGTCTTTGAAATAACACTTTCTGAAGTTCAGAGTTGAGAATAAGTTCAATGGTACATAACAAAATACTTTTTTTTTTTTTGTAATAAGAAAAACATCCATGGAAGAGAAGAATTATTTCTTGCTGGTGGTTAAATTCCATTGGCACCGTCGCTGTTTAGCCACTGAAAGTTGAGCAGTAGGACAGTTTGAAGGAGGCTCCACCCACCGTCTGCCCACCCACTCGGCAAGACTGGCTGGCTGCACATTGCTTGATGGGCAGCACCCAGTTCGAGAAAATCTAAATTAAGAGCAGTTCTGTGCTTCAACCTGTGTTATTTTTAATCCCAATTTACTCCTAGGATTAATTTTGTATAAATTAAGCATAGTCATTCTGGGTGGCTTCTTCTCGTGATTACTATAGATGCCTTTTAGTTTAAGTTACAATGGACAGGTGGAGCAAGTCTCACACCGGGGAATTTTTCTTTTCAGCTCTATAAATTGTTTTAACTGACAGCCCAGATCATTGTTTTCCTTGCCCTTCAGTTGACAAGTTCTTTGTTGTTCAGTAAAACTGACATTTAGTGTTGTGCTTTGTTTCTTTCCAATACCTTCTTTTCCCTCATTTTAGAAAATGTGCAGTCCGACCTCCTTCACAAGTACCAGAGTAAAGATGACATCCTCGTGCTGACAGTGAGGCTGGCTGTCATTGTTGCTGTCATCCTCACGGTGCCAGTGTTATTTTTCACGGTGAGTAAAGCCTCGGTGTAATCGGAGAAAGGCTGAGGTATCGCCTGTCCTCCTGTCTCAGGAGCCCATTCCAGAGAAAACCTGTTGCAGGTAACTCCTGTGTCACCGAAACTGCATCCAGGAAGGATCCCAAGACTCAGTTAAGATTCTTCAGAGAGAAAGTGGGATCAGTGCGATAGGGTAGACTCTGATGGAAGGAATCTTAATTCTAATGAATCTGTCCCTCTTCTTATAGAGAAATGCAGATAGGATGTTCGAATCTTCATCATACACAGTGAGACAATGTAGAAGGACCAGGAGAGAACCCTGAGCCATAGATAAAACAGAAACAGAAATTATCCCCCCTAAAAGAAAATTATTCATAAATAACATTTTTCCATCTTAAATCAAGCCCCTTGCGTCCTAAACTGTTACGCTGTCTATAAATCACAGCACCTTTCACAGATCCCTGGCCCAGTGGTCAGTCCCTGCTGAGAAGGGTCACGCGGGCCGCTGCAGACCCTTACAGAGTCTCCCTTTTCCTTTCCCGCAGGTGCGTTCCTCTTTATTTGAACTGGCTAAGAAAACAAAGTTTAATCTATGTCGTCATATCTTTGTTACCATCATCCTCTTGGTTATTATCAACTTGTTGGTGATCTTCATACCCTCCATGAAGGACATTTTTGGAGTCGTAGGTATGGCTTTATGACTTGACATTTACTCTACAGCAGCTAGTTAGGAAACTAAAATCTCACAGAAACAATTAAAAAAAATTTTTTTTTCTTATTTTACAGGAGTTACATCTGCTAATATGCTTATTTTCATTCTCCCTTCATCTCTTTATTTAAAAATCACAAACCAGGATGGAGATAAAGGAACTCAAAGAATTTGGGTATGTCTTATGCCAGCCACCTTCATTTGTCTGATTCGTTTTTTTATTTAATGTACCTTATAAGTAGTCCATCTCTACCATCTAACACTACTTTTAGCAGCCTCGAAGGAGGCAGCAGGGCTATAGTTTTCCCCTCTGGGAGGTTTATACATCTCATGAGAATCCTCTCTATTTCCTCACAATATCTCTTCGGGTGTTGCTCTTACTGTGCCTTAGCTTTTGCTCTGAGCTAGAGCAGGGCCAGCTGGGAGACTGGATGCTTGTCCTCCGTCTCTGTAAGGTGATACCTTATCTTTAGCCATACGGGGTAGTGGAGAGGGACTCAAGGAGTTTATGCAGTCCATGGTTTCTGTACAGTTCCTAGTCAAGTACGTCCGTCCTGCAGCTCAGGAACATGTAATGCCTAATGTAAGTGGTTGAGTTAGCTTAGAGTCTTTTTATGATTTGACAGAAATGCTTTGGAGCAACAGACCTGGATTCAACAACTACCTTTCTCTACTGGGATTCTTTTTTTTTTTTTTTATCCTCACCCGAGGACATTCCTCAATTTTTTGTTCAGGTAGAGTGGGAGGGAGAGAGAGGAACAGAGAGAGAGAGAGAAACATCGACGTGAAAGGAACACATCGAGTGGCTGCCACCCGCACAACCGACCAGGGCCGGGGACAAACTGCAACCAAGGTACGCGCCCTTAGCGGGAACCGAACCCGGGTCTCTCAGGACCGCAGGCCGACGCTCTAACCGCTGAGCCAAACCGGCCAGGGCTCTACTGGGATTCTTGTTTCCAGGTCTGGTAAAGTTCAAGGGCATCTTCAGGGTGATGCACTTGGAGACAGTGAGGGAAGCAGGGGTGAAGTGGCTGCCGCACGAGTACCTTCCGGAGCACCATCTGGTTTGCTCTCGGAGAGGGCTTGCCAGCTGCCCCGCAGTGTAAGGCTCCAATCGCACATATTACCCGAGTAGCAGACGCAGATAAGAGACAGGCAGGAGGGATCTCCCTTGTGCATTGATGCTGAACATCATCAACAGGATTATCTCTGAAGCCATAAATCCCAAATTCTTACCAGGGGTTGCTTCACAAGGACAGCGAGGAAAGAGCAGGCACTCTGCACAGCAGTAAAATATACTAAGATCCAAAAATGGTAGAGGTCTGTTGCCCATGAATTTTCTGGACTTCCCCAGCCTGGCTCTCATAACAAAACTGGTAGTAGGAACTACTGAATAACATTAGACAAGGGCTTCTATCCGTTAGTACCCACTGGGAGTTAGACCAGACCCATGACGGTAAACCCATGTGCATCCCGCTGAACCCCACCATTCGCCTCCTCTCCTTCCCTTAGCTCTATCCTCCAGGTCCCAGGCCAGCCGCCTTGGCTCTCACGATGCTTCGTCCTTCTCCCTGCAGAGCTCTCACTGGATAGTCTCAGGCCAAACAATTTATAATCTTGTGTTCTCCAGATTCTAGATTTAATGATCTGGCTACCTGTGTCCTTCATCAACCCTTGAAGTAACTTAGTTGTTGTTGTTTTATATTCAGTACTATTTGTGTATTAGTTTCAGGTGTACTACATAATAGTTAAACAATCATACACTTTACAAAGTGGTCCCCGCAATATTTCAAGTACCCACTTGGCACTGTATGTAGTTATTACTCAAGTAACTTAGTTTTTGACACCTGTTTCCTATCTCACTTGATCAAATTTACTTTGCTTTTATATCTTTTTCCACTTTTCAAACAGAAATGTTTGCCTACCGGTGATGTTAGGTTGGTTGGTAAAGAGTGGTGGAATGACCTGTAGGTTTTCCAAAGCCATTATGTTTTTAAGTTGTGATCTTAGTTTGAAAGAAGTTGTGAGGATACCCCATCAACTGTAGAACAGATTCACTCTGCAGTGACCATATGACCAAAGCACAGGCTGTAGAGGGCTGCTCTGTGGAGTTTGCTCTTACTTCCCCATCTTTGGAGAACCCGGTTCACACACCGTGTCAGAAAGACTCCCACGGCTCAGCGGTGGTTGTGACACACTCCAAGTGCACAGGTAGACAAGGAGGGAAAGCGTTTCTATTTGTTGCCCAGGTGCATGTGGGAAATGCTTGCTTTGCTGAAAATAACTCATGCCTTTCTGTTGCTCCAGGCTGCCCTTTTCTTGGGTCTGGGGGTGTTGTTTTCCCTGGTCAGCATTCCCTTGGTCATCTACGACTGGGCCTGCTCATCGGGCAGTGACGAAGGCCACTGAGACCGGCTGAGAAAAGGAGACGTCCCATCTGCTGCTCAGTCAAGTCACCACACATCAGCAACCACACGTCATCACTTCTTTTTCGAGTTTACAGAAGCAAAGAGAAATTTACAAGATATTTAAAATGGAATAACATTTTGGTAGAAAAGCAGAGACCTATTTCTATAACAGTTCATGTCCCTCCAAGATTTGGGATCAATTTAAGGATCATGGATTTTTTTTCCAAATTTCATGCAATCATATTTCCTAGTATTTTCCATAGTCAGTTATTTTCCACTCTCCTAACTCAATTATTTGTAACGTCATGGTCTGTAAGAACTTTGAAAACATCATCGATCATGTTTATTATAGATTCAGATTCTGAAATAATTTTCCTACTGATGTTCAGCTCACACTATCTGTACCTTTTTAGAAGAGAAAAGAATCTTGAATTGTATATATTTATTTTGCTTTACAGAAAAAAATGATTTCATAAATAATTTGCCTATTTTGGTTAACATAGCACACAGGGGTAATCATATGAGGGTCGCAGGAAGCATGTGATCTTTGAGGTGACTCCGATCTCCCTGGTACGATGCCTGTTCCACACAGAGACATTCTCTGGTGAAGTCTTCTCAGCTGGGAAGGGAGTGAAAATGACACTCACCTTGGTAAATATATTAAACTACACATTTGGGTAATCTAGGAAATGAAGTTTTGTTTCCCTCTTGACAACTTGTGTCAAAATTACTCTGACCTGACTCCATTTCCATGGGGGCAGTCCGTGTCACCTTTATAATAAATTGAGGAGCAAGAATAGTGCAAAAAGATTGTCCAAAACACCTAAGAAAATATTCCTCTGATGCAGGCAGCCTTCAACCCTGCACTCTACACTGTATTGTTGAAGGGGAAAACGTTCTCTTGCATTACAACTCCAGCAGCTTTTCCTCATGTCCACCAGCTTTTTGCACAGAGAATAAGGTGTAGCTAACCAAGGATGATCTAAGTAATTCCTGTTTTATATATTGGGTACTTTGGGGGTGGGGGTGGGGTCTTTAAAAGACTTGTTTTATATCTATCTATAAATTTAGGTTATTACAAATACAAGATTTTTGTATCTTAAATAAGCCTCATTCCTATTTCTTCTCCATTAACAATCCTTCCAGAGTGTTAGAAAAAGAAAGAGAACCCTCAGAGATAGTTTTTGAGGAGAACTTGTGACAAAATCATTGAGGACCTTCCTTCTCCCAGATGAGGACCTTGGAGTCCGTGCTGTTCCTTCTCGCTCCTAGCTGAGAGCTGGGCCATTGCTGCCATCCCCCTGAGCCCCACACAGGACCGAACTGCCTCCCACTCTTACCCCAGCCCTCTCCTGGGGGGGGGGGCATGGAAGCTACACAGAGACTGAGAAAGAAGAGTTTGGCATAAGGTAGCTTGGAAAGCCATGGGGAGCAGAAACCCAGAACACCCTACCCTGTGGTCTGATTGTCCGGATCACACAGAGAAATGTGTGTGCTCTGGGAGCTGGTCCCTGGAAACAGGCCTCGGTGTTAATCTATATTCTGGTTGAATTTCTCAAACACAGAAGTTCACCGAGCACAGACTTCTTATCCTGCGATAAGTGGAATCTAACCGCAGACTCTTGGCAGGGTTTCCGGGCACTGAGCTCTGGGTTCTGTTCCTCGTCCACTCAGATCCCTGGAGGCCTCCACACTCTGGGAGAACCATGGGACTGTCCCCTCCCCTCTACAGACCACTGCCCCATAGGAAAGGCAGACATCAGAGCACCTTGTCGCAATCCTCTTGGGGGAGAAGGAAGGGTGGTTTCCTGCATTTCTTGGTAGGGTCATCCTTGCTTTTAATGTGATGTTCCAGAATTATATTCACATTAGGTCAGAGTTCGGGTATTTAGATATGAATACCCAACCCAATAATATGGATGACACTCCTTTTCAGCAGTGTCTTCCATGTTAGATGCGCAGGGAGAGAAACTAGTTGGCCCTTGGAGGCTTGGCTAGAGCAGCAGGTAATGAAATAGCCAGAGAGTGGGATGGCCCTCCATTAATAATAATAATCATTGTTTCCAGCTATATTTTGCTACTTGCAATTTTCCTCAATTTATAACAATTTACACTCCCAAAGTCAACTGAGAAATTTATCATTAACTCTTGGGGGAAGAAGGATGAGTAGTGATATTTTTGGATCTCTGGATTTTATGTGTCAGTACAAGGAATGATTATCATTTAAAATATATTTATTTAGAAGAGGCACATTGCTGTAGATGTCTGTGATACCACAGGTTTTTAAAATGTTCTTTGTATGTTTACGTAAGTTTGTTGTTGGTCACTGAATATAATAGACCCTACTGTAGTTTGTCAAATATCACTGATTAATTAATTACATCGTTTGTGTGGGATTAGCTGTAAAGTATACTGCTCTTAATCTTCTTGTTCAGAATAGCGAACTGGTAGCCAAAAAATACATGTATCACAAATGTTAGGTAGAATTTAAACAATGCAGTCAAGCACTATAGAAGTTTTTCTGCTACATTTGTAGACTAAAGAATGTTATACCTTAGCCATGGGGAGCAGCACGTTTTCCTCTGGTAGCGAGGTCTCCACACCAGTGAACAGTGCCAGTTTCCTGCTTTGGACTTAGAGCTGTTCTCTGGTTACTGCAATACAGAACAGTGTGAATCCCTGATTTCCGTAACACGACCTATTGGAAGTGGGGGTAGTAAAGTGTGTACAGGAAAGAAATTCCGTCTTGTTAAGCAGAGGAAGCCCCCAATTTATAAGCTGATCATGTTGCAAAACTCTGTCAACTTGATTATTTGCAAACTGGAATGTATTTTCTGTTTTAAGCCAGGTTATACATGGTGGTTAAACCCCCAGATCAGCTAGGGAAGATATCAAACCCATAGTTTAGCTGAAATTGGATACTATTCCAAGATTGTTAAAGAATCTAACCACTAAATATAATATTGTTTCTAGGGGTATTTGTTCAGAGTTGCCAAGAATGTGCCATTCCTGTTGGTGGAATCTGGATTGTCCACTGCAGCCACACGCCTGCTGGATGGTGGGCCTACCCTCGCCACCAGTTACAGGTGACCAGAGTGGCCTACAGCAGGGGAGGGGAAGAGTAAGTCCGGGGCCACCAGAGAACCTAGTGGTAGGAGGAGTGTGAAGGAGGATCAGGGGGCCTCTTGTGAGTTGTAAACCACCAGGAACCATCCTCAGCTGATACCTTCTTTTCTCTGGAGGTCACAGGCTTGGTCTGCCTGCTCCTATTTGTGGGACCTTTTGCTCCTATAGTTCATCCCCTCCCCTGCTCACAACACACCCACAAACGATGTTGCTTCATAGCCTCTCCCACATGCCAGTCATTGGAGCCAGCATTCAGCACATATAATGGGTTTAGAGCTAATAAACGGTGGCTTTACTGTCCCGTAATCATGTTTTTTACATGGGCAAGGGGATGGTCACGGGGCTTGGAGTGGGCAAGGAACTGGTAGGATTCTCGATATTTCAGAGAACATCACAGTTACCCCAGAACTGACTTTTTTCTGGAGTTGGACTCAAGCCTCTAAGCCAGTGGTTCTCAAAGTGTGGCCCCCAGACCAGCCGCGTCAGCATTACCTGGGAACATGTTGGAATGCACACGCTCAGGTCCCACCCCAGACCCAGTGAAATCAGACGCTGGGGGGTTGGAGGAGCAAAAGGTGTTTTAACAAGCCCTCCAGGGGATCTTGATGCACATTCAGTTTGAGCACCACTCTGAGCCAGTCAGTCTCTCCTTTGTTCTCCCCATTAATCCTACCCAGAGGATGGTTCATAGGACTCCTGGGACGAGAAATGGGAAGAAGAACTTGGGGAGCGGAGGAAACAGCCTCAGCAGCAGAGCCTCCTCCCCCTTCCCGTTGGACTGGCTGAGGCAAGTGCTGTCTGGCGGGTGCTCAGTCTGCTGCAGGTGCTCGGTCTGAGGCAGGTGTTCAGTGGTCAGAGAAAGCTGCCTGTACTCTGGTCCAGCTTTGGGCTAAGGCACAATAAGTTCACATTTTTTAGAGCTGTGAAGAAAGTGAAGTGTTACTGTTTTTTGGTTTTGGGTTTTGTTTTGTTTTGTTTTTAAGGGGAATTAAAAGAATATACCCTTTGTAAATGCAACCTTTGAGGAAATACTGAGTTCAAGTCGGGAGTAAATTCTGCAGAATGTTTGGGTTTATTGTGTGGTGACCAATCCTGCCCTCTTTTTAAAGTGAATTCTCGACTGCAAGGTCTGCACTGACTAAGGAGCTATACACTACTTTGAAAAGGATGTAGAACTCAGCTCCATTTCAGTCTATCAGAATACTGATGGCATCATTAAGTGGGGTGGGGAGGAGGTCAGTGATATGATCAGATATTTGATTTTATGTTTTAGAGCAAAAGCCATTAGTTTCTCTCAGTTTATCATTGTAAAGGGCTTGAGGCTTAGAAAGGGCATAACATAAGCCTGAAAGGATATAATTCCCCCATTCCAGTTCACAGTAAACTTCTAGCCACTTTCAAAATAAAGAAGATACAGGCTACAGCTTTAGCAGTGCTAACAAGTGATGTCCGTAGGGATGGCAGATCTGAGAATCCTTTAGCAATAGAACATACTTCCTCTAAAATACAGTGAATTATTTATGATATGAAGCTTTCAGGTGCAAATTGGGGGTGGGGTGGCTAACAACGGAAAAATATCACCAAATCTAAAAGAGAACGTTCTTGGAAAATAAATAAAATTCACAAGGCTTAGACGTTCTCTTTTGGGGTTTTCTTGGAGGAAGGGCTGTGAAACTGGGCGCATCCGTATACAGGCTTGAATTTATGTTTTCAAAAGGAAGTATCTATGCAGCTGAGGCTTATTGTAGGAAATAGTTCATTTGTATGTAAATATACTGTAAATAAATAGGAGGCTGTATATTTTTGCAGTTGTTGATCCACACTGAAATAGAAGTCTCTAGCATCTGCATATCAAGAATAAAAGTTTTCTTAGATATTAGTGGTTTTGTTTGGGAATTAGAAAGTTTTACATTCTCTGCCAGGTAACATACTCTCAATATAAACTTGGAAACTAAAAATCTTACTTAGTTGTTTAGAAAGAGAAGTCTGAGAAATACTTGTGTTGATTTCATTAAGATCAATCATTTAAAAGATATTAAGATCAATTATTAAAAAAATAGTCCTCTGAGCTACAACTAAGGAATATTTAGACTCAAATTATTGTCGTATAGAAATAGATATACCCAAATGACAAACTGTTTCTTCATAATGCTCTTTCATTGTTAATACTGAGACCACTGCACAGTGTTTATCACAATAGAAGTTGGGGAGGAGATTGTGGGGTTTCTTTTCAAAACTGAATTGCTGCATTTCCCAAACTTTGGGATCTTTGAAAAGAGGAAAGAATCTGAACATAAACGAGGAGCACAAATTTGAAGAAGGAAAAAAACATTATTTTATCAAGCTTTTGAAAGTCTTGCATGCTTGCCTTTTTTCGGTGTCGATGCCAACATAGACTGTTTAAGTCATTTTCTCCCCCAAACACTTCAATCTTCACCATTGGTATGTAATCCACTCGCTGGAGTCCAGTGCATTTCAGACTTCATCTAAGTCCAGTACATGTGGCACGCCACTGTTATATTCATGTAAAAACTGTGTACATGGATTTTAGAGGTATGACTTTAGTGAGTCACAAGTCACCAAACTTTGCTATTCATGGTTAATCGAATAGAGATCCCCCCAACCCCCAGGATGTGGTGTAAATAAAGAAATGTAAGAGATTCTGTTCTATAACTGCTCTATTAACATAGTTTTTAAACATTAAAAACATGAACTAAAAGTATTTATGAAGTTTGTGTTCATTCCTTTGGGATGCAGTACTCAAAGAGGGGCTCATTTGAGTACTTACCATACACGCTATTCAGGACTGTTGGAGGCAGATTCGCACACATTTGTCAGTGTTCTAGGACACTGGGAGCTCATGGAAGCTTATATTTAAAATATACTTCTCATGTGTGCATGAACAAAGGTCGTGGACAACAAAGCTGGGGACAGGGTGGGGAGGGAGGGGGAGGAAAAATCAGTGGGGGAAACAGGAGAAACATCTGTAACAAAATAAATTAATTAATTAAAAAAGAAATATACTTCTGATAGTAATCTATCTGGTCTGAAACATCACATATTTCTCCTTCATAATCAGAGTAGGTTGAACATAACATTTGAAACTCAAGGTCATCTTTACAAATATCACTTTCTGTGCTGTGTTATAGGAGGGACGCTCATCTTCCTCTACCCCAGCGGTTCTCAACCTGTGGGTCACGACCCCTTTGGGGGTCGAACGACCCTTTCACAGGGGTTGCCTAAGACATAACAGTAGCAAAATTACAGTTATGAAGTAGCAGCAAAAATAATTTTATGTTTGGGGGTCACCACAACATGAGGAACTGTAATAAAGGGTCGCGGCATTAGGAAGGTTGAGAACCACTGCTCTACCCGCATGAAAACCAACCACACAATAGGAAATTCTATCCGCATTTCTATTCATCCAGGAATGATGGAGGCGGAAGCTTCTGCAGCCGGGCCTTTTCTTGTCCATCACCAGCTCCATCCCAGAATCTTAGGGAAGTTTCATCAGACCAGCAAATGGCCGAGTCTATATCCAGATTCCCCTTGTGGAGAGTGTTAGTGCAGGAACAACTGGGCCTTTGTGGCACGACTGGGCATGCAGCCTGTCTTGACTCTTAATGAGCTGCCCAGGTGGCAACCCATTCTGCAGGGCTACATCATGGGAATTTGGGGCACAGGAGTCCAAGCTGTGTACTCCAATCTAGTTTCATTAGCAATACAGCTGATATTTTTTATCCTATGTGCCTCCTGCTTGTATTTCTTTTTCTTTTTCTTTTTCTTTTTCTTTTGTGGTACGTGCCTCTAGCGGGAACCGAACCCGGGACTCTCTGGTCCGCAGGCCGACGCCGCTCCAACCACTGAGCCAAACTGGGCAGGGCCTGTTTGTATTTCTTAATTGACCAAAACTCCAGGGGCAAGGGTGTGAGTCATTATCACTTTCAAACCCAAGCAGTTGTAAAAGTGCATACATCCGAAGGCTACTGCGGGGTTTGCTCTAAATCAAAAGGTCCCTAGTCCGGCTGTGCTTTTGATGGCTCTGACTTCTCCCACTAAGGCTTCCATGAGTGTCTGTTAATACTGTTCCACTCTGCCCTGTTTCACAAGTAATTGTCCGGGTAAGGGTTTTCTCCTCCTCCCCTATGGAACAAACTGTGGACTTACTGATAACTTTGCAACTCAGAGGACCTGTTCACCTAGTCTAGACTTATAATTGTGTTCTGCCTGATTGGGATAGTCTGGGAGGGGTTAATGAGGCCCAGATAACGAGGCCAATTTTTTGTTTTCCTTTCCAACGTTTTACCTTTCATTAGTTTCGATTTTAGACTAAACCGATTGGCTGGGTGATCTGTGCTTCAGTGGGGTCAGTGCAACATCAAAATTACCTGTCAAAGTATCAAAATGTATGATAAAGCTGTAGCACTTAAAACAAATTTATACAGATGTGGAAATAAATAGAACAAAATAGAGAACATATGCATAAAAGGCCCAAATAACACCAGAAAAGTGGTCTTTCAAATCAATAGGGAAAACAAGGGTTCCTCAATGAATGGTGAAAAAAATGACTAGCTTTTTGAAGAAAATAAAGTTAGATCCCTATTTTATCCCTTATATCTAGAGAGAGTTCAACTATGTTAAAGACTGTAAACATGACACAGGTAAATATAGCTTCTTTTTTTTTTTTTTTTTTTACAAATGTAAAGCTATTACTATCATATAATGTAGTCATGTGTCAAAAATTTTATTTAGCTCATTATTAATGAAGAAACAAGATGTTTAAAATGGTTCAAAGGAGAATTCAAAGAACAGGCACATAAATGAGCAATCAGGGAGGCGGAAATGAATTTCCTAACAGATGCAAAACTGCCCTTCTTCACAGGGGGTAATTAATTGCATCTTGCCAGACAAAATTTATTGCTTTCTGGGAAATAATAATTTCAATCTCTATTATTTTCCTACAATTTACAGAATTACAAAATAGCTCAAAAACCAAAAAAAGTGGTGGAGGGATGGGGGGGATCAGGGGGGTTGGCAAAATTTGTATAGAATCAGATAATCCAGAAGGTACATCTAGTATTGCATAAAAAATACACCCAGTAATCTTTTTTGCTTTTCAAATGTTTTCCATTTTCCCCCTTTGTCAAAATAAAGCTTCTAAGATTATTCTTGGTCATAGAAAAAAAAAAAAGGCTGGTCTTATTAGGTCTGGCCTGGTTATTTGCATAGTCTCAACAAGTGATAATTAATCTATAGGCTTCTTTGTTTTGTTTTTTATTATATACTGGTAGAAATAAAAAGTTCTTGTTGAACCTATGCAAATAACAATATTGCTGTCAAAAGGTAAGGAAACACCGATTTTTTAAATTTGGGGGGCTGAAGGGAAATTCAGTAAGAAGTAGAAAAAAAAAGTTTAACTTCACTTTACAGAAGTAGAGTCCACTGAATTGTAGGTTAAAAATAGCCTAAGAAGAAAAAGAAATGTTCCCCTAAATATCCAGAAAATAGAACATGAAAACAGCTTCAACACAACCACAGTAAAATTTCCTTTATCTGCTGATTCCCTCCTGTGTAATTCTGTTCTGCTAGATCTTGGTTTAGCATTCTGCTTTCATCAAGTTTTCTGCTTCTGGACTAAAGAGTCCTGTAAATCCACACTCACTCCACAGGTACAGCTTGACAGTTGTCTAAGTAACGTCAGCTCAGAAGTTTATAACAAAGAGTCTATTCTTTGAAATGTCCTTAGTTGAATGTACTTGGCACAGTCCTTTTCATTGAGACTCTGAGGCTGTGCGTCTTCGCTAAAGAACTGGAATCTGGCAGGTAGCTTATAGCATGCCTCAGGTAGGTTTCAGGAAGCAGACACCTACTTAACAATGAAACTGACAGGCTGTGGTTAATTTACTAGGTAATTAATGGTTACACATTCAATCACAGGCATGCATTCTCTCATAGGTGTCTTTCCAGATAACCTTGAAGCTCTGTGTAGTATTCCACTGAAAGGAATCTTTTGTGCCCATTTCAAAGTCTTTCACAATGTTGCTGTCATTCACTATATATCAATATCTCATATACAGGGTGGTGCAAAAGTAGGTTTAAAGTTGTAAGTACACAAAGCACAGAATTTATTCTTGTACTATTATTTATTCATTATGGCATTATTTTTCATACAAACAACTGTAAACCTACTTTTGTCCCACCCTGTGTGTACTATCTTGGAGAGGGGAAGGCCTTTCTTGGTATGAAACAGGAGTCACAAGGGAAGTAATGGATCAATAAATATTTTAATACTCTGACTTACTAAAGTGCCAAAGTGGGGGAAAAAAATCCAAAAAGAAACAAAACTAACATTTTTTTTTTTTAAATCCTCATCCGAGGATATTTTTCTGTTTATCATCAAATAGACTGGGAGGGAGGGGAGAGGGAAAGAGGGAGAGGGAGAGAGACAAACATCGATGTGAGAGACACATTGACTGGTTGCCTCTCCTGCAAGACCCCGACCAGGGCGGGGGATACATGCTCTTGACCGGAATCGAACTATTGGTCGGCGCGCCAACGCCCTAAACACTGAACCAAACCGGCCAGGGCAAACCCAAACTAACATTTGCCACACATATGTTGCAACTGGTACGACCTGACTCTTGAGTTTTACGTCAAAATTATTCCAAGGATTCCTGTGTCTAATTACCAAGATGCCAATGTCCAAATTGCCCATGAACTCTTAAAACATTTGACTTGGAGATGCCTGCTTCCGAACTCCAGGCAAAGGAGAACCAGCTGGTGGATTAATCAGTCCCCGGGGGCTCCGCTCTGCGCCGTGCTGCCTGCCGCACAGAGCCACTGCTGGACACTAGCTCTGCACGATGTCACGTCTGTGTCCAGGGCTGCAATCCTGCCCTCGCAGGCCCACAGCTTTGTGACAGAAGTGAGGGAGGAAAAATGACCCTAATCCACCCAGTGCTGTGGTGGCTGTCACCTCAGGAGCCCCAGCGAGGGTTGTTCCCACGGCAGCGCTCCAGGCTGCCTGGCTCACAGGGGGTCCAAGGCCGGCTGCACCCTGGGGCCTTTCACTGACACTGACCCCGGTTCTGGACTTTAGATGCCCCTCATTCTGAGTTCCTCTTTGCATCTCACAGGACTGTTTCTGCCCCTTTCTGAGATCATCTCAATCTACAAGAGAGGTTCTAAAACCAGTAAGACTCAAAGGGAAGGAATGGATGGGAGACTTAATACTACGTTCCCTGATGCCTCCGTCAATTCGCCCCACCCTTTCAACAGCCATTGTTGCAATACTCCAAAGGCTGTTTGGCTTTGGACAGTCATTAAACCACAAAAATGTTCTAGTTACATCCTTCCTTTGGGGTGATACCTGCCTACTTGGCTCCTATTTAGAACTTAAGAGGGGCCATTTGATTGATGTTTCCTTGTTTAAAAGTGACAAAATTGTCTTGTCAAAGAAGCACCTAGAAGCTTCAAGTTCTGCCTACACAGTCCTTGGCTACATAGCATAGAGCTAATCTCCTTAACAAGTTAAGAGCTTTTAAAAATTACTAAGAAAGAAACTGAAAACCCCATAGAAAAATGGGTTTCAAAAACATAAAGGGAAACAAATACATAGAAAGATGTTCAATCTAACAAAAATCTAACTCATAAGTATATAAATGCAAATTAGAACATCCATGTATACCTTTACATTTTTTCCCTTTCATATTGGCATAGATTATAGTTCTGGTAGAAATGTAAGAAACAGCCATTTTCATATGCAGCTGATGAG